GGGGAACAAAACCCCCCCCCCCCTGAACGGGGGAAACTGGGGGAAAAGTTCCCCCCCCCCCCCCCCCGACTTATCGACTCCCCCGAAGAACTCGGGGAGACAAGGAGGGATCTTTGGGGATGTCCCTGTGCTCCCCCAATCAGGGCTCACTTTGGGGGGTTCCGTCCCCGTTTTTGGGATGTCCCCGCCTCAGGCTGGTCCCGGTGCGGCTCCCCCCGGCCCTGGCCCACCCAATAGTGGAGGAGGCGCCCCAAAAGCAGCGCCCAGAGCAGCGCTTGCACCCACAGCTGGAAGTGGGGATCCCAGCCCCACCCGGGACCCCTGGGGGACATCACTCCCGCCTCCGCTGTCCCCTCGTGTCGCCCCGCTGTCCCGATACTGCCCGTGACATTCTGTCTTTTGTTCCCGAGACCCCAGGGAATGGGAGGGGTCGGGCCTGATCCGGCCAGGCCCCCCGGCCCCCCTCCAAATCCGTCCCGGGAGCACCGGGACCGCCCCCTCTTCCTTCTCCCGGGACCACGCCCTCCCGTAGCCACGCCTTTTTCATTAGGCCACGCCCTGTCCCCTTGGCAACGGCACATCAAAGGCGCCCCTTTCTGTAGCCACGCCACCATGGCAACTGTCATAGCTCCCTTCCAGAGGCCAAGCCTATCCCCATGGCAACCACGTGCGCCTCCTGGCCCCATGGCAACGCCAGCGCCACGCCCCTTCTGAGACCGTGCCCACTCACAGGTCGCACCTCCTAGTTCCTATTACATATCTAGGCCACGCCCCCTCAGACTGCGCCCCCCACGCGTTTCTGTGGCAGCACCCTCCCACCCGAGGCCCCTTTCCTCCCCAGACCCCTCCACCGCTTGGGAGGAGGTGACACCCCCCGGGGGGGAGGGGGACCCCAGACCTCTCCCCGTCCCCCCGTGAAGCCCCTATCCAGAGCCCCGGTGTCGCAGCGCCCCCCCGTCCCCTCTGTTCGCTCAGTGGGGCAGGGAGCTCCTGCCCCGGTCCCGGTCCTGCCTTCGCCTTCCAATTCCCGCCGGTCCCAGTGGCCCCCGGCCCGCTTCCCCCCGCCCACTGTTCTCTCCGCCCATCCGCTCCCGAGTCGCCACGATCCCCCTCGGTCGCAGGTCTCCACCGGTCCCTCCGCCGGTACGCGGTGCCCCCTGGTCCCCACCTTCCCCTTCTGTTTTTCCTCCCGGTCCCCCCGCTCACGGTTCTCCAGCTCCCCCGGTACCCCAATCCCGGTATCATGGTATCCCGCTCACCCTTCTCCAGTCCCGAACCCCATATTCTGGTACCCCGACTTCCCGACATCCTGACATCCCGGTGTTCCGCTTACCGCTCTCCAGCTTTCCCTGGTATCCGCTATCCCGAGATCCCGGTGTGTATCTCCCAGTGTGTACTCCAATATTCCCATATCCCTCTCACCTCCCTCCCGCTCCCGCCGCGTTTCCCTGACCCGGTACCCCGATATCCCGGTGTGTATCGAAGTGTCTATGCCGATATCCTGGTGTGTTTCCCCGTGTGTACCGTGTGTAACGCGATATCCCGAGACCCCCTCACGCCTCTCCCCCTCCCGCCGCCTTTCCCCTCACGGGCCCGGTGCTCCCGCGGGCCCCGCCCGTCCTCCGGTTCCGCCGCTCATTGGTTGGCTGCGAGGCTGCCACTTCCCATTGGTCAGCTCTGCCCCGGGTCCCACCTCCGCCGCTTCCCATTCGCCGAGGCTACCGTCAGTTCGGAGTTCGCCCGGCCCCTCCTGATGGTCATTAAAAATGATTGGGCCTCTTCAAGGGACGGGGCAAAGGGACACTGACGTTATGGGCGGGGCTTTGTGCAGAGGGGCGTGATTCCAGTGATTGACATGAGAGGGGCGGGGCTGCTGGGTACGGGGCGGGGCTTACACACCCAGCCTCGTGCCTTGCACGAGGGCTCGTTAATTAACCCCCTTAATTAAACTAATGGGGCCCAGCCCCCCCCCCCGATAAACCCTGCTTTGGCCTCGGTCTGTCAATTAATCCATCCTCCCTTCCTATCTCCATTCAATTAACAAGCTTCTGTTTAATTACCCCAGCTCATTAGCATATGCTAATATATGGCTGATGACAGCAATTAGAAGGGCTCCTGCTGCTCTTGATTACTCCTTAGCAGGCATGGGCCTGCCTGTTAATTGGCTTAAGGAACCTCACATCTGCCCAGGTAAGATCATAAACCCCAGCTCGTTAACTCCCAGCTCATTAACCTTTCTCATTAATGCTTCTCCATTAATATTCCCATTCATGTTCCCCCTTATTAAGACTCCTCCCTAAAGCTCACTTCATTGGCACCTACCTTGATTAACGCCTCTCATTAACACTCCCATCATTAAAGCTCCAGCTCATTCCTGCCCTGCCTGTGTTCCTTAACGCCCCTCATTAGCATCGCTGCTCATTAACGTTCCTCCCTCATGAACCCCATTTACTGTCCCTCACTAACACCCCCTTAATTAAGAGGCCCATTAATGGCACTCCATTAATGCCCCCGCCCCCAAGTGTCTGCAGTCCCGGCAGTGACCGCGGGGGGACGATGCCTCCATGGGGGGAGGGTCCTGGAGGTGACAGCGAAGGGACAGTGGTGGGGAGGGGTCCCTGCAGTCCCAGCGGTGGCCGCGGGGGGCGGTGATGGGGACGGGAATGGGGAGGGGTCCATGCAGTCCCGGCGGTGGCCGCGGGGGGCGCTGGCGGGGCCGGGAGGGGCCGGGGTCCCGCAGTTCCGGCGGCCACCGCCGGGGGGAGCCCGCGGGCGCGGGGCGGTCCGGGGGGGTCGCGCCGCGATCGCCGCATGGAGCTGAACCCGCAG